ACTGCTGGAACGGTGGCCTTGGTTATTAAGAACAGCTGCTCTGTACAAGCGCTTCTTGTGGTAAAGTGATGGGAAATGCATGTTTAACCAATCTGGACTGTTTAGACGGCGCACGTTTCTTGATGAAGGCAAGAGTTTTGTTGAGATCACAGGATGGACTCTTCCATGCTTTCAAACAATTTTTTGGGCCCCACATGGCAACGATTTGCTGCAAAAAAGAGCTTCGGCAGCCGCTTTTTCAAGGAAACCCATGTCTTCTTGCTCTGCCGTTTGTCCAACTGCATCGTGCGACCGCGGGGCTCTCTCATGTCCTGCCTTCTTCCCGTCACGGGGACGGTGGGCAGGTGCCAGTCGACGACCGCAAACCACACATGTCTCTTATGTGGTTTGAACTTGCGTTCTTTCGCAGTTGACAGCAAACAGGCAATCTGACCATCTCTGCAACACCATAACATCGTTGGTTTGGGACTTGTGCATGGAGAACAAACTTCCAAAGAGATATCCCATTCTGTGGTCTAACCTGTGCTGTGTTTTTTGTTTTGGGTGTCTTTGTTTTTGGTTTGCGGGGCGTGAGCGGTGATGTGCAGAAGGAAAGAAGGTAACAAGGAGGAAGGGGATCGAAGTGAACATTTTGAGATGGACAAGTTCTGTTTGAGGATGACTTGACGGAGAAGATGAACACAAAGTGGCTGAAGAGACAAGAGACACATATTGTTTCAAAACTTTCGTAAACTTGGAACACTACAACTCCCGTTGTGAGGGTCAAAGTCCAACCCCAAAGAGATTTTTTTTTCAGGCAATTTGTAGCTCTTATGTTGACAGAGGCAAGCGTCGATACATTCAATTTTTCAGGCAACTGTATTTCCGCAAGTGGCAAACACATGTGCTGCAAGGACGCAGAAATCCGAAACCGTTTTAAAACTTTTTCACCGAATCATTGCACTGGGGCGCGGGCATGTGCGACTTGAAGTTTTAGCCTGCCACTGCAAGAATCTGCCATCGATTCATGGAAACCGTGTTTCTTGCGGACCAGCACGCTAGTCCAAACACCAAAGCCACAAGACCCAGGAGTGGTTGGTCCATTTGTCCCTGCACTGCATGGACCATGTCGGCTGCAAGACACTTTTCAATCGCAGCGTTGGCCAAAAGTCGAAGTTGAACTTCAACAGTTGAACTAGTATATTCTACCAGTTCGCATTGGACACATATAAACAAAACAAAACCTTTTTGTGCCTGTTCCTCAGGGGGTGTAATCTCACTGAATGCTTTCGCATGGGCCTTCAAACATAGCTAAGAGAAGAATCCCAACAATGAAACACAAATGCAAAGATCATAGACTATATAGACCAATTGCGAACATGAGATTCGGACATTTGCGTTGGGAATGGCCTGAGTTGCTTGGCAAATATACACAAAACATCATTGTTTCAAAAGGCATATTGATACAGTAAATTTTAATTCGCTGGTGCTTGCTTCACCAAGGTGTAGGTCTTCTTTTGCAGTCACTGACATTCAGGCTGAGCCTTGGACATTGTGCGCTGACTTCTTTTTGCTCAGAATCCCTTCCACCCATGAGTCCAGGTGCAACAACCGACCAAAAATAGCATACCGGTGGACATCACGGTACTTATCAAGAAGGCCCTTGTTCGATTGAATGCTGGTTCTGCTACTTTGCTGTGTGTGAGGAACAAAAGTCGCAGGTCGGTCGTGACCTTTACCAGGCTCCACTGTCCACGCCGTTGGCGCAGCCTGGTCCAGCTGCGGCTCCTGATGCAGGTGGCCATTTTGCAAGTCCACAGGTGACCGAGCATCGTATGCATATTTTGTCAGGTGCGACACCAGCACCATCACCGCAAAAGTCAGTGTGGCACTTGGCTCGTTCCTGATGGCCTTGGATGAGTTGATGGTCTTGATTCATTGTAAAGTGCAGATCTGTTTCGATCCGTTGGGCCCGCTTGTGCTTCGAGTGCTTTGACTGAGGGGATGATGTGGTTTGGGGTGATTGCGTCACAGCCCCAACATGTTGTCCTTGATATGTTTGTTGTCGGAAGGCAATATGCGGAGTCAAACAAAAGACGTTGTGTGAGTTTGCCGATCAAGCTTGCACGATTGCTTCGGTTTGCTGAGGACAATCGCCGATCCAGTCAATCGCAAGGCAGCTGCAGAATGTTCATAATGCTTTTGGTGTTCAAACCATAACAAAAACACCCAGAAACTCTGCACTGTGGCTACTGACCTCCCACTGTACCACGAAACATAATAACCCACTGACTACACCTCATCCAGCACAAAGGAACGATGCCCCTGGTTTCGAAACTTCGTTGGGGACTTTGAGCCAAATCTGGGCATTGTTACATGTCTGGTTGAGGAAGAGTTTGGAACACTGGTGTAAGAGACCCTTGGTGTCTGAGAATAGGTAGGTTTATTGATGATTTTGATATTTTTGAGTGTTGGATGGATGGGTATGGTTTCCGTGTAGCTGAGCACTCCTTCTAGACGCAAAGAATTGCAGGACCAGCTTCGAAGATTTTTGTGAGTCCTGGGCACCCGTAGGTTGGTTGGAGATGGTGCACGGAGAATTGCATTTCTATTTTCGAATTGTAACCTTTGCCGTCCATGCTTCAACTGAAGCCTCAATCTTCTTGCACCTGTCAGACCTCAAGAGAAGCCAAAGAGCTTTTCATCGTGACGCTTCATGGATCAGTTCAGAATATTTGCAAGAACTGAGTATTTTTGGTCTGCTTTCTTCTTGTCATGCCCTCGCCTTCGCGCCTTTCACGATCTTCGATCTCTGGATCCAAAACCAGCTCCGCTTCCAGTGGAGAGTCATTCAAGCAGGTAGCTAGATTGTTGAAGGACCTTACCTTCAAGAGTTTTGGAATGGTCAAGAGGGAAAGTGCTGCAGCATTATGCTCAAATAGCTTGCACTTCACTTTGTGAGAGATTCTGTGAATATGCCCGGGCCGCGTGAGGAAGGATAGGGCCTCCGTGGCCTGGGTGCGTATTGGCTTAACTTGCAAGCATCGAACAAAGGATTGTTTTTCTTTTCTATTTTTTTTCTCTCTCTCTCTCTCTCTTTCGCGGTCGCTCGCTCTTTCTCTCTAGGTCTCTAGGCATGCCTTGTTCAGAAGTGTAGGGCATGCCTTCCCCTGATTCCTTCGCAGGAAAGTGGCGGCTGATAAACCCGCTCAACATCCGCTTCTCACAGCCGCGGATCGCTCCGCACTTTCGGGTCCGCAGATGAAATAGTTTGTGGAATTGGATTGCCTTGTTTTTTTTAGAAGGTGTTTTTCTGACTGAGGACGGGCATTTGATAAAGGACTCTGCTTGCGAGGCTTGGAGATTTGGCTTCAACGCACAAATACATACAGTATATAGGTCGATAGATTCTTTCATTCTGAGGTCTTTGAAGCGCCGCTGCAGGACTGCCCTGCATTGCACTTTGACATCTGGAATATTTGCCCTCATCAGGATCGAGTTTATGCTGGCGCAGCCTCAGAGGATGCGGCAGATGGAGTCCCATCATACGATTTGGCCAGGGTCTCAAGTTCTTGCATCGACAGTCTTGACTGTCTTAACTTAAGTCTCTGCCAATGATCGAAGTTGAATCCACTGCTGATGAAGCCAGGCGCCTGTTGTTGCATGAGTCGATGAGGTTTTGGTGCCACCTTTCCCTGCAATTCGGGTGATTTCCTGGCTGCCGAAGCTTCGGCGGCCAGATGGCGAGGCGATGAGATCTTCCTTTCACGCTGAGAAAAGCGTCTCTACGTTCAGGTTCAGCCAGCTTCTAGGTAGATTCTGGGTTCCGCATGCGACCCCTTGCAGCTCCACCATGCCATGCATGACACAACTCTTGCCGAGATTCTAATTCAAGCCGCCTGAGGAAGGGAGAACTTACTGATGACGATAGGTGAGGATGTCGAAGGAAAGGATTTTAGCGGGATTGTGAGGCCGAGCGTGATGCGAACGGGGATCAACTCTTGGGCAAGCGTGCTTGGTTTGCGCCTCAGGTTCTTCCAAGGCTGAGTGTGTTTGTGTACCTTTTTTTCCGCGATCGAGCAGATGCAAAAGCTTCACAAACAATTTTTTTGCAGCAAACCGGTGTAATGTTCGCATTACCCTCCAGATTCCAGCCCATCTCCAATTTGTAACTAACCAGATATTGTTAGCGCGTAGTATGTGCAGTAGTGTGTGCTTTTTGATCTCTTGGTGACTGCTACCTCATGCCCATTGTCCTTACTTAGAGTCAGGTTTGCCCTGGACAACCGACGGCTCTACTCACTACAGCACGGCTCTCAAGCTGCTGGTGAGCCGCTTGCAGGTTTCTTGAGATGGTACACCACATTTTGATGTCATTTGCGAGGTGTGCGGCTGCAAGAAGATGGCCGCGGCGGTGTTGTGAACAGCCCTCAGCACTTGTTTCAGAAGAAGGAGCTTGTAAGAATAGATGTGCTCATCACAACATACAAGAGCTTACCTGGTAGTTTCAAGACACACGACATATTTCTTTGAAATGCCGCATGCTTCTTGAGGTTTCACAGAATCTTGCGCTTCTGAGGTTGTAGTACGCTGTATTGAGGACCCAATTCTGGCTGCAAAAAAGAAACACTGCACTGCTAGACCCTAGGCCAAGCCGCTAGGCTTCTGTGCGACGCGCACGGTCTCCACAGCCAGGAAGTGCCGGGTGGCGAAGGTTTGCGAGAGCTGAGAAAGCTGCTCGGCGAAAGCGGGGGGCGCAGGCAGCTTCTGGGGCCGCTTCTCAGTCTAGTGACTAGTGTGTGTTTTCTTGTCTGACTTTCTTTCGAAGGCCAATTTCATTTTGGCATTTCAGTGCCCCCTAGGTTTCGGACCACAACAGAGGGAAGGCGATACAGTCTTGATACAGTGAACACGAACATCCGATTTGTAAGCATGCGGACCATGCTTTCCACATGCGAACCATGCGGGCCAGGTCCGTTGAAGTAGGTGCACGGGCTGGCGAGACCCGACCCTTCAATTGGATGCAGGCGAGGGTTGATGGAAAATGAGGTGTATTCGACTAAAGCTGCTAGTGACAAGGACGCTACTAGGTTGGAGGCCACTACTACTAGTAACAAGAAGCTACTAGGGGCTCCTAGCCTTACTACTAGG